CACCCCGGGGCGGGGGCCGGGGCGGGACCAGGAGCTGCTATCGGGGCTGGATTTCTCGGCTTCCACCCGGATTCTCCCTCGGCTCTCCCGGCCGATTCGGTGCTGCTCGGCGACCACGTGACGCGGGCTGCCTTTGACCCCAGTCTCGGAGCGGGTAGGGGGCGGGGGCCGGAGGGGGGTGTCAGATGTGGGACCCACGAGGGCCCGGGGCGGCTGCCTGGAGTCCCGGAGGTGGTGACCCCGGGGAAACAAAGCCCCGGGGAGGCCAACAAGTTATTCGGGGTCAAACAGGGAACAGCGCTGGGGGTCTAAGAGGCTTCAGAGAGAACCAGGGAGACAAAGACCCGCGCCCGCCGCGCCACTGAGGTCTCTGGGAGCACCCTGGCCGGCCTGAGGGGGCCTCCTGGCTCTACCGCCACTGGGCTTCTGACAACCGTCCAGGCCTCTTCAGCGGGCTCCCCAATAGCCAAGTCTGCTGCAGTGACTCCTCCTGGGCAGGCCTTCCTGGCACCCCTCACCCCTTTGCCCTGACTCTCGAAAACCCCTTTATTTCCTTTACCGTGATTATCTGGTTCATTTACTGGTTTCATTGTTTACTAGAATGCCATCTCCCCCAACAAGTTGTTCCCAGCTGAATCCCCAGTGCCTGGCACATAACAGGCAGATGAAGAGGTGGATGGCATTGTGCAAATCTCTCCTCCCGCTGAGCCTCAGTTTCCCACCCCCAGTGTTATTTCAACCATCTCAAGGACCCCGCGAATTAGGCAAGAGTACAGTGGTCATCCTCATTAAACAGATGAGGAAAACGAGGCCCAGGGAGAAGAAATGATTTCTGGGAGTCTCTTAAGTGGCTGAGAGCCCCAGCCTCAGATCTGACTGTTCCAGGTGGAGCATTTTGCCATCCATGAGCCAGCCTGTAAAATGAGGGACTGGGTCATTAGTTGATTGGTTGATTAGTGAGCCATAAGGAGCTTGCTAATGATGTAGATCACCAGGTCCCACCCCTAGAGATCCTGACTCTGGGCCTGGGGTGAGGCTGGAGCAAATTTGGAAAACAGTGGATTGTTAGTTTCCTAAGGACTTGCCTGCTCAGAAGGCCCAGGCGGCCAGCGGGGCGTGCAGCAAGCACCCCGGGGCAGAAGCTCAAGATCATCTAACGGTAGGAGCAAAGTTTAAAAAACAAACAAACAAACAAACAGTAACCAAAGCAGAGCCAAGGGTGATAGAGAAGCCAAACTTGACACATGAGGGTAGGACAGACTCATCCCAATTCCCCTAAAGGGTAACCTCCTTGTGCTAGGGAGGAAGGGGCTTCCAGGCAGCCCACTCATGTCTCAGAGGGGGACAGATGCTGAGGCCTGAGCAAGGTATGATGCCAGGGGATGGGAGCTGGCCCCAGATTCCCAGGCATGCCCATGTGACAGCTTTGGATGAAGTGTAGTCACCAGGACTGAGCCGAAGGATGGTGACCACAGGCCCAAACTACAGGCCATGTTCAAAGATAAGCTTGTGACTTCCTAATGCATACTCCAGCCAAGCCACCAGTTTGGCCAGGAAATCATCATCCACCGGCAAACTCTCCTTTATAGTCTATGTTCCTGTGATCAACAACCTAAGTCCTTGCATATTGTCTGGGTCATAGGCAGGTTAAACAAGCCCCTAGACTCTTACTCATGCTAATTGCTGCTTGGGAGACCATTTCCATTCACATGAGATCCTGTGAGCATCTTCTCTGTGCTAGGCACTGTGCTCTTGGCAACAGAGGTACAGGGTTGAAAGAGACCTAGGTCTGCACTCTCAAGAAGTCTGGGTATGTTTGGAGATGATCTGCATGTCCCTCCCTGTGTCTGGAGGCTGCCTGAATTGTGGGCCTGTTGGGGACACCCAGGGTAAGTGCTCTGGCCCACAATAAGAGGGGAGCAGAACAAGGGAACTTCGAGAGGAGGCAGGATCTCAAGGGACAGGGCAGGATGGGGGTGGGGGGGAGGCGGTGAGGGGAAATGGACATTCCCAGTACAAGGAACAACCTGTTACAGCCGCATGGAAAGCATTCAGGAAAAGCTGAGTGTTGCATGGGGGAGTGGGGGTGGGGCGGGAAGGGGTGGAGGAAGCAGGAAGGAAAGAATGAGCAAGAAAACTGGAGAGGTGGGTTAGGAGCGGATTATGGGTGACCTTCTATGAGGGGCCCAATGGAAGGGACATCCGAGGGCCAGGTGGAGTGAGAAGGCTGTAAGCAGGTGAGGTAGTAAAAGCCCTGCTGTGGGAGGGTCGAGGGGAACAGAGGCCAGTCCTCCTCCCCAAGCTGAGTGAGAGCCAGCATCTCACCAATCGAGATGCAGATCCAAAGCCTTTAAGGGGCAGCTGTGAGCTGGGGTAACTCCCCATCACTGACAGCTCTTCCTGCTTTTTTCAAGTCTTCAGAGTTGCTGTTCACCAAGTTGGGTTCAAGGCCCTCCAGCTCACTGTCATCCAGAAAGCCTGTAAAATGCGAGGCCCAGGTCCTACGCAGGGAACTGGCCTCCATGGGTCTAGGTGAAGCTGAGGACCTGCATTTCTAACCGTACCCTGGGAGGTTCTGAGGAAGACTGTCAAGATGCCCTGCTCCTCCATCCCCTCAGGACCCACCCACATCTCCCAGAGCTTTGTGCTGGCAACTCCCCCTGCCCACACCTCCCCCTCAGCTTGTGTCCCCCACCACTGCCCACTTGACATGCTCCTTGGCTGCCCCAAGGTTCGTTTTATCCAATTCTGTAAGTCAAAGGCTGAACTCATTATCTTCCACCCAAACCTGCTTCTCCCCCTCCTCCTGTGTGTTCAATTCATATGCCTAGCCCAGAAATCTGACACCAGCTCCTTGTCCCCCCGCATTGCATTCACAGACCAGTTCTATTGGTTCTGCCTCCAGTTTTTTCTTCTCTAACCCAATCCCATTCCTTCCTCTTCATCACTACCACCCTAGTCCAAGCCACCATCTTGTCTTTGCCTTGGCCCATGTTAACAGCCCCTTAACTGCTCTGCCTCCCTCCCACTCTGCCTCCTCTCATACAACATCTAAAAGCTTATTTCTTACTTAAAACCACCAATGGCTTCCCATTGCTCTCAAGATAAATTCTCCACCTTTTTGTCCAGCCTATCTCTTGTCTTGAAATGGCTTGCACCACTTTCCCCTTTACCTAATTCCCCATTAAAATTGTGGATTGCCTGGGTCTGAATGCCAGTTCTGCCGCTAACAAGTTGTGTGACCGTGGATCAGTTTTTCAACCTCTCTGTGTTCATCTCTAAACTGGGATAATAATAGCCTGTACTTCATAGGGGCATTGTGAGAATTAAATGAGTTAAACATGTAAAGCCCTCAGAGTGGCGTCTATCATATGATAAGCATTATTAAAGTGTTAGCAAAATGATTATTTGTGATCCTTTGGGCATCAGGTTAAATTTCATTTCCTCCTCGGGCTTCCCCTGTGCCCCTGACCCAGACCACTTCCTGGTCTACATGTCACAATCTCCCTCCATCACGCTTATAGTTATTTGTCAGCTGCCTCTCTAAACTGTAAGCTGTGTGTGGACAGGACCGTATTGGTCACAGACACAACTGAGTCCCGGAGCCCCACACAGTGCCAGGCACAGGGCAGGCAACCAGTACAAATTTGCTAACTAAACATATAAAATGAAAGTCAATGGATTCATCACAAAACACAGAACACTGTCTCCCTACAAAATGCCCATCCATGGCACTTCATTCCTTTATTCATTTGACATTGATTAGTACCTCTCCTACAGTCTTCCTCACACCATCCTGGTGGGGGAGAGGGAGTGGACAGACACAGAGATGGTCAGGACAGATGTGGCCCCTGTCCTCCAGGAATGTGTAGTCTACTGCAGAGACAGACATGTAAATGTATCAGAAGATATGATGCAGTGTAACCATGCTGTGATACTGGCCTGTAACAATTCTGTTTCCCAGGAAGTCTTTGGAACATGAAAGTGAAAAGTAACTAAAAACAGACACTGTTGTCTACTTTAGCCGGCATCCCCAGTTCCCGGCAGGGTCGTCTATAGAGTAGGAAGGGTAGGTCCTGTTCCAAACGCACTAAGGCCACCCGCTCTTCCCCTGCCTGAAGACCTCCTATTCAGTCTTCAAGGCCCCAGGTAAGCAGCACCTCACCCGGGAAGCCTTCCTGCTCCTGCCAGGGCTCTGTATGGGACTTGGTCATGGCTTGAGTGATTTTCTGGGACTACAGCGGAATGTGTCACAAAGAATCCAAATTCCATGTCATTTGCTTCTTTAAAAAAGTAAAAGGTGATTCGATGAATGTGTAACTACATGTGATTTCATGTTTGGACTTCAGTGGAGGCAGAAAATAGCCTCTGTCAGACCACGTGATCTGATTTGTGGTTTGGAGAACATGGTCACCGTAATTATAGCATTGACCACATGGTGTAACAGTTTCCTCTCCTCTCTCTCTCACGCACACACACATACACACAGAGTTCTTCAAGGACAGAGACTATCTGCTCCCTGGCAGAGCTTGATATCTGTTCAACAAATGAAGGGGGAAAGTCTGAAATGGGCAGGCAACCCATGCTTCAGACGGACAATGGATACAGATTGTTCTGGAAAGCTACCAAAGACTGAGGCGGGGGATAAGAGCAATTAACAGCAATTAATCTCTTACTCTGGTCATGCTACCTGCTTTCCATTTACTCTGCAGCCTAGACAGCTGCACCTCAGGGAGGTGAAGCGACTTCCCCAAGGTCACCCAGACAGGAGTGGCAGAGGAGGTTTCAAATCCAGGTCCACCCAACTCAAAGGCTAAGTTCTTGCCACGGTTTACCCCACCTCCCAGTGCCCAGGGGCAACGAGTCCACAGACTATGCAAGACCGCCCGAGTTCCACGCCCCGTTCCCTCACACCCACAGGGCTCTCTCCCCACCCTTCCCCGCCATACCCCCACCTTCATCTACACTGCTGCTCTTTGAAGAGCACTCGCAGCTGCGTTCCAAAGCAGTCCCAACTCTGGGGCCAGGTTTCCTGTTTCAGGCAGATCCCAAGGATGTGTGTCACGCCTTCCCAGCCCATCCCTCACTCCCTGGAGCCGTCTGGGCCAAGGACTCAGCTGCACAATCCCTTTCGCACACAGCACTCTTCCTGTGTTTTATAAGGCATTTTCCCACTCTGTAAACCAATTCCTGGGGACTCCCCAGCAGTCCTGACAGGTTTTCACAGCGGAGATTTTTCACCCCCATGTGAGATGAGAAAATGGAGGTTTGGCCAACCTGTGGGAGATCCTCCCAGCCGGCCCAAGGGCAGGGCTGCAGCTAAACAAAATTTCAGACCACCCGCCCACCTTCTTCCAAGTCCCTGGAGGGTTCAACTTGACCAAGAGAACACTTGGATGGAGGGTGAAAGATCTTCAGAATCCTCACACAGAGAAGATAATGGCTTCTGCAAACAAATGCAAATCGGCTAATTTCCCTTTTTACTGGGTTCATTGTGATGCACCAGTTACAACCTGGCAAAAGAAAAACACTCACAAGCACATGCGGTCTCTAAATGACATTACAGCAATAGGCTCAAAGTCCTCTGAGGGCAAGGCAGGGTCCAGAATCCAGTCCCAGCCCGCTAATCTGGGGCAGAAGCCAAGGGCAGAGGCACAAAGGTTCTTTCCCAAACCTCCCTAGAGGGGCTCTGCCCTGCCTGTGCCTTCACCCCCAGGCCATCTCTCATCCACTCCCCCACTATCTGGCCTCCTCATTCTTCAGTTCTCTAAACTGGATCACCAGAAGCTAATTTTTTTTAAATTGAAGTATAGTTGATTTACAATATTGTGTTAGTTTCAGGTGTACAGCAAAGTGATTCAGTTACATATATATTTTCAGATTATATTCCACTATAAGTTATTACAAGATATTGAATATAATTCCCTGTGCTATACAGTGAAACTGTTGTCTCTATATTTTATGTATAGTAGTTTGTATCTGTTATTCCCATATTCTGAATGTGTACCTCCCTCCAGCCTTCTCTCCTTTGGTAACCATGAGTTTGTTTTCTACGCCTGTGAGTCTGTTTCTGTTTTGTACATAGATTCATCTGTATTACTTTTTTTAGATTCCACATATAAGTGGTATCATATAGTATTTGTCTTTCTTTGTCTGACTTAATGTCATTAAGTGTAATATTTTCTAGGTCCATCCATGTTGCTGCAAATGGCAATATTTCATTCTTTTTTATGGCTGAGTAATATTCCATTGTACACATAAACCACATCTTTATCCATTCATCTGCTGAAGGACACTTAAATTGCTTCCATGGCTTGGCTATTGTAAATAGTGATGCTATGAACATTGGAGTGTATATTATCTTTTTGAATTACAGTTCTCATTTTTTCCAGATACATACCAGGAGTGAGTTTGCTGGATCATATGGTAGCTCTATTTTTAGTTTTTTAAGGAACCTCTATACTGTTTTCTATAGTGACTGCACCAAGTTACATTCCCACCAACAGTGTCCAAAGGTTCCCTTTTCTGTACACCCTCTCTAGCATTTATAATATTTGCAGATTTTTTGATGATGGCCATTCTGACTGGAGTGAGGTGATACTTCATCGTGGTTTTGATTTGATTTCTCTAATAACTGGCAATGTTGAGCATCTTTTCATGTGTCCGTTGGCCACCCATATGTCTTCGCTGGAGAGATGTCTATTTAGGTCTTCTGCTCATTTTTTAATTGGGTTGTTTGTTTTTTCCATATTGAGTTGTATGAACTTGGAGCTAAATACTTTTAACGTCACTTGGAACAAAACATTACATTCATCAAAGAGGGGAGGGGACTTCTCAAGATTTCCATCAATTATTCCAGTTTATTCTCACCACTCCCATGGGTATTGGGTGGGCGTCACAACTCCCACTTCCTAGTTAAAGAAACTGAGGCTCAGAATCCCAGTGCCCCCACCAAGTGAAGCAGACAGGATGGGCTTGGTCACCCGGTCTGGAAGTTGCTGTCCAGTCTTCCTGGGTCCCCACACTCCTTACACACACACACACACACACACACACACACACACACAAACCGGGCCCACCTTGATTGTTTGCATGCTCCTCCAGGGCTACCTTGTTGTCTTAGTTTATGATTCCTGAACTAATACAATCTGCCTCCTTGCCGAAATGGAGAAACTGAGGCCCAGAGAGGATCAGGGGCCTGCCCCATCTCCAGTGACATAGCAAACCTGCAAAGGCCCCTGCCCGTGAACCTTTCCCCATTGCCCAGCTTCGTGCGCATCAGAAGCTGAGAAGGAGGTGGCACCATCAAGGCAAGAACTCCCAAGGTCAAGTCTAGACACCATTCCTGGGCCCTTGGAGACAGGCCAGCATGTAGTGGGTAAGAGGGGAGTGCTGACCCCGGTGGAAAGTTGGCTCTGAAACTGGCATGGTGGTCAGACTCTTGTCTAGGGTTATTTGCTCCAACAGGCATGGAAATTCTTTTCATTCCAAGGCCCACTCTTCACACAGAGCCGTCTGGGCTGAGTCTGTCCTGAGATGGAGCTGGGGTTGGGGGAGGGAAGCAGGAGGGAAATTGCAAGAATAACCCCCACCCGCATTCACAAACAACATGGTCACACTCATTCACTCATACGCTGCACAAACCACTCACCCCACCCACCTCCCTTCCCCCAATACTGCCCTCCATCCGTGCTTAAGAGCTTTGCAGTTGGACTATCCTGTGTCGAAATCCAAGGTCAGCCCTCACTTACTGTCACTTAATTTGGCTTCAACTGTTTACTTGTAGAATGGGGATAATAGTAGTTACATCATAGGGTTATTGAGGAGATTAAATGAAATATTAAGAAGCCACTTAGCACCGTGCCTGGCATAGCTGTAGTTGTTACTGCTACTTTACCCAACACTTCCCTACAGCTCATTGGGGTTCCCCTCTATTGTACATACACATCCCTCCCTGGAGGCTAACTCCCAGGCTGCCCTCAGCCAGCTGACCCACCCTCCAGGCCCTACCACCCTCTGATCCCTCTACTCCAGGAAGCCTGGGACCCTCCAGGCCTGGGTACAGGCCATGTGTGCACAGCATCCCTTCGGACCAGAATATCCTCACCTCCACTTCTTTGTGACTCTAACCAGCACCCCCTTCCCTTCAATTCCAGCTCTAGTCTGACCTCCTCCAGGACACCTTCCCCGAGTGACCTCTGATCTTCCTCTT